TAGAATCACCCCAAAAAGTAGGGATCGAAGGCCAACATGTAAGCTTGGTCCAATAGGCTAATTAAAGTCTGACCCAAAATTTGACTCGTAGATTTATCCTCGAGACCCACATTAGAATAACCTTTAAAGGGGTAATTACCAACTAGTCTCATTAAGTATACTTAAATATCATTAAGTTCTATTGATTTTTTAATGCACCAATAAGTCCTACCTGATTCAACACTTAAAACTAAATGTATTAAGTAATAATTAATTAAGCCTGTTTGACAATTACAATTGATATCAATTAAAAATTGAAGTGCCTCTTAAAATGTAAACTAAAACTTGAAAAAATTTTAAATTATATGAAATTTATTTAATTCTGACTGAATTTATAAATATTAAACATAAGTATCGATATATACTATTATAAACTCATCACCACCGCGACCGCGGCCACCACTACGACTATTACTGCTACCGTTTCCACCACTACAACCACCACTATTACTACCGCTACCGCTACTGCTACCATTACTACCACCACCATCACCACTACCACCATGCCATTGCTACCACTATTGTCGCTGTCACCGCAACCACTACCATTGCAATTGTTACCACTACCACTACCACCACCACCACCACTTTTATCACTATTGTTATTATTGCCATAAGCATCACCATCAATATGCTACCACCACCACCACCACCACTGCTATCACTACCACTACCACTAACGATACCATTACTACCATTACCATGCCACTACCACCACTACTATCACTACCATTATCACAATAAAAAAATTAAAATATATAATTTGAAATTAATAAATTTCAAATTTGATCTTATACATATCAAATAATTTATTTTTAGTTCAGTACTTAAATTTTTATTATACAGCTTTTCAGCTTAAAAAATTCAACATTCAGTTTTTATTACTTATTAATTTTTAGTCTTTTAGTTTTCAATTTTATCAAACACCATACATATCAAGTTGTTCCATCTTCTCTTCTCTTCTATCTCTCCACCATTTTTCCAAAAGTTTCACACTATCATTGTCTACCACCACCATCGTCGTCCACTCGTTACTGTCGTTGTCGTCCACTCATTATCTTCTCTTCTCTCTTCTCCTCTCTCTCTCTCTCTCTACCATTTTTCCAAAAGCTTTACACCACCATTTGTAGACATCCAATTTTGATTAACCCTAACACTTTGGGTGCTTGCAAGGCTTCCAATGATAAAATGATAATTACTTCATCTTTAGAGTGTTTAAGATTGTTTGAAATTGCTATATAAACCTATTTTGGCTAAAAATCAACTTTTTTGCAAATGACCATTTACCCTTGGACCCATTTGCTAGCCAAAAACCAACTTTTTAATCCCAAGAATGAGAGAGAAGCTCAATTGTGCTTTGATCGAATATATTTTTTGAAATTAGTGACCAATTTTTTCAAAAACATTAATTAGAAGGCAATTTGGGTTTATTTGAGCCACAAGCAAACCAAGGGCATGGGACTTCCCACTTGTGCATGCATACATGGCACGTGTACCAAGGCAAAAATGTGAGCACACACATTAGTTGGGAGTGCACACATTAGTTGTACATGCATACAATGTTGGTGTGTGTGCACGAGGTTTGTGCGTGCGCACATCCAAGCGTGATAGAGTTATTTTTGGTAACTCAATCTTGACGCATTTCTGGTTGGAGGCGGAAGAAAAAGCGATGGGGGTTGCTCTAGCTTGTCCCCCACGCCTTTTAGTGCCTATAAAAGAAACCCTCTCCCTCTCCTTCTCCCTCTTAAGGGGTTAAGAATTTTGAAAGCTTTTAAGTGATTTGAGAGCAAAACACCCATTTTCTCTTATCTCCTTACAGCAACTCTAACTTTTGAAAATTGTCTAAGGCTTGAAGGATTTGAACTATCTTAGAAACATTTGCTTGAGGGAGGCTTGCAAGCAAGAAAACCTTGGCTTTTTTACTATTTCACCACGTGCTCTTCGATTTAAACAAATCAGAAGGTACTACTCTTTTCTTCTTGTTATTTTAGTACCCTTTTTGATCTATTTTTTAGTATTTATCCATGTTAGGTTGTTACTTCATCGTCCTATCATGCAGATTGTTAGTTTTATTAACTTTTTTGCCTTTCTTTTGCATGACTTCTTTATTTCATTAGAACAATATGCTTTAAGCCTATTTTAGTCACATAATAATTATACATGGCCCAGTTTGAATCATCACGTAATTTATATTTATGCTTTTTATTTGTTAAGTGTATTTTATGCATAATCATCATATTAGTAGTCTTAAATCGAGCATAGGAACATTCTTGTATGTGTAGTTGCATATTAGGTCATATTTATTTCAAGTATTGCATGAAAGACACTTGAGTTGGCATCTAAGTAAGTCTCCTTAAATTTCATAGCATATGCTTGTCCTTTATTGCATCGTTATTTAAATAATCCAAATTAAATGCTCTTTATATACAAAATTGTGTGTTTTATATATTTTTGTGAATATCGTGTATTTTAGTTTGTGTTTAAAAGTGTATGGATTATCAAAAATCCATTTTAATGAAAAATCACTTCTTTTTTTTTAATAATAAAAATATGACTTTATTCATTCAATCTAAAATATATGATATTTATTTTTACTACAATCACATAGTTTTAGGTTAGTTAAGAGTTTTAGGCTGAAAATAAATTGTATGAATAATTAACCACTAAAGTCATTAAATAGAAAGTGATTAGAGGCCAATCTTCGAGTTGGGCAAAAAGAGATGTTTTCATTCAATGATTTTCCCCTTTTGTACCTAAGCTCCCAAGCCTAGAATTTTCTGATTATAACGAATCAAGTCCTTAACTTAGTTTTCATTGTTAATTTTTTTTAATTCTCCTTTAAAAATTAAGTGGCGACTCTTTATTGATCAAAATAAGTCGGTGTGGGATGCATGCCTTAGACTTCAAAAAGGCACGACGCCCACTCCAATGTTTATCATTATTGACGTCGTCACCGTCCACCTACCACCACTGCCACTGCTGCCATCTACCCACCACCATTATCGTCGTTATGCGAATGTCACCACCATTCACCAACTATCTCCACCATTGTGGTTGATCTACAGTACATCGTCATCGATCAACACTTTACCGCTGTAGATTTACACTCCACCATTGCTGATCAATACAACCACTATATCACGACTACCTAATTTGTTTCAAATTGAAATTTATTTTTCAATGATATATTTATCAGTCTTTTTTGTTGTTTTGTCTATGTGAAAAATGATGGTGGATTCTTGTAAGTGGGTGAATATGAGTAAGGATGTAGATAATAATGAATAAATTTATAGGGATCAATTTATCAATTTGGTCAATAAATTTATAATAATAATAAATTTATCAATCAAGACTTACAAGTGAATAAGTCTAATTAATATACTTGTTACCAATCAAACAAAGTATGCTGATTAATGGATACTACTCTCTCTGTCTCTCTTATTTTTTTATTTAAATTTTTTTGTGTGCACATTATTTTTTTTGTAAAACAATAAAATTAAAATCAATAAACTAGGTAAGTAACATGCCAATAATAAAAATAACAACTATATTTTTACAAGATTAAAGATGATAAAATTTAATAATATAATAGATGTAATTTTGTATTTCAATATAAAAAAAAATTCATTATTTAATATGCAATTCTAATTGTCGTGATGCACTTCAAAATTTAATATTGTAATTTATCTAATAAATTTTAAATTGAATAAAAAAAATCCTAAATCACGTCTACATGGGCCATGCCTAACTCGAAACCTATAAGCTCATATATTTTTTAGAGAAATTACAAAAAAATGAAAAGAAGTAGAAGAAATTGCAAAAAACTAGGAGAGTCTAAACTAACTGGACGAAACATAAAAACTGAAAAGAAAAATTGCAAAATCATGGGGAACTTACATTCTTACCCCTAACCCTTTTTTTCTCTTTCTCTCTTTCACATTTACCTACACCGTCTACAAACCCTAATTCGGCGTCGATATCCTCTTTCGGCATCTCCCTCAATCGTTATGCATCACCCCAAGCCCCTTTACCTCACCTCTACCAATTTTCCTCTTCTTTTCCTTCCATTTCATTTCCCACCTTTTGCATACCCTAATTCTAACACCATATTTCTCACAGCTACCACCAATACTACCTATAACCTCTTTTAGCCTCAATTTTCTCTCCTCCAGCTCTTTCCCCACTCCCATTACTATCCTAACCCTCTCAAAACCGCCTTTGACCTTCTATTCCTCAACTTTAGTTTTTATTACAGTTGTGACCATCGCTAAATATCGTTAGAGAGAGAGAGAGAGAGATCACTCACTCGATCAAATCGTGATCATGATTTAGGTTTGCGAAAGTTAAGGCAATAAGTTGGGCAAAGGTCAAAGGATGGCAATGATGGCTGGAGAAAGGGAAAGATGTTGGGAAATGGTAAGGACTAGCAACCATTAGAAGGAATGGTAGAAGATGGGTGGTTGCTGCATAATGAGGGTAGAGAAGGAGAATGAAAAGAGATGAGAGAAAAAAAACTATGCCAAAATATAAGGAAATGTAATTTTTTTTTCATGATTTTACAATTTTTCTTAGTTTCCATATTAGATGCAATTATTAGATTTCTCACTCCTTTGAATTTCTCTTGACTTCTTTCAATTTTTTCTATAATTTCTCCTATTTTTCAATCCATAAATTAGGCCTAACCCTTATGAATTTACAATGTTGGGAATTTTTTATGGCAGTTGTAGCGATGACTTTTTAACTTTTTAAATAATTTTTAAATTTTTAACTAATGTAGGAGATTCCCAAATTTAGTCTAACTAGTAGCATGGGAAATTTAAAAATTATTTTTTTAAAAAATAATTTGGTTATAAAGGGTAAACATGTAATTTTAAAAAATAATGTGGAGCATTTTCAATGTGCGAAAATAAACCTAACGGAGCGAGTATGAAGACCAAATGGAGTGCGTAGAATACATATAATAGACAAACCGCCTATTACATCTACCCATCCTTCTCCAAGCAAGCCGACCGACCCATATATATATATAAACCCTCCCTCTTAAAATTTTTTATTTTTTATTTTTTCAATTTCTCTCCTTATTTTCTTCAATCAATCGAGCTCTGCTTGAGTTACTCAGGTGAAGTATTTCATCCTAATCTATGTTCATATATATATACATGTTTAATGTGTTTCTATGAGGTATCGACCTTAGCGTCTGGAGGAGCAAATGTTTCAATTATTCAATTTAGGGTTTTGACTGTTTTTGTTAATTGGTTTCTGAAATTCCCCCTCTCTGATGTTGCCACATTTGTAATCATCCCTTTTGTTGACTAAAAGTGGCAATCTTTATTTATGGGATTCGTTTAATTAATCGATCATTGAGTGTATAAGTGTTTCATCTAACATTTAACTAACACATTAGTATATGGGTATTTGTTGTGAATTGTATACTTATTATTTTTTGTAATTATCCCTTTTATTGATTAACATATTTATTGGAACTAAAAGTAGCAATCTTTATATGTGGTATTCATTTAATTGATTGATTATAGAATGTGTAAGTGTTTCATCTAACATTTAACTAACACATTAGTATATGGGTGTTTGTTGTGAATTATATACTTATTTGTAATTATCCCTTTTTGATAAACATATTTATTGGAACTAAAAGTAGCAATCTTTATATGTGGGATTCGTTTAATTGATTGATTATGGAGTGTATAAGTGTTTCATCTAACATTTAACTAACACATTAGTATATGGGTATTTGTTTTGAATTGTATACTTGCAATTATCCCTTTTGTTGATTAACATATTTATTGGTGGGATTCGTTCAATTGATTGGTTGTTGAGTGTATAGTTGTTGGTGATGAGTGTTTGTAATCTTTCTGAGCTACTGGTTCTTGGAAAAATTATCCTCATTTTAGTCATCTAACCATCTAATTAACAAATTAGTATATGGGTATTTGTTGTGAATTGTATACTTGTGAGCTTGTGTAGATTTTATAGGAAGCTGTCTTATCTTGTTTTTCTATTTCAATGGACAATGATTATTTATTTCTGTTTTCCTGATCTTTTCTGAGAGTCTGATTTTGATGAGAGCGACCTTGTTGTAAAGTAGTATAAATTTTGCTTGCTGGCTAGAATTTGTTTATGCTATCTTTGGATCGATTCATTCGCCCTCTTTGACTGCAAGTGTCAGTGATTTTGTAAGTTTGTGGAATTTTCTCTATATTTATTTAATAATGTAGAGCATGAATGACCCCACAAATTGTCCACTCGGTGGCACAAAAACTCTGTTTCATGCATAAGTTCAATTAGTTCATCAACTGCATTTTCTTTAATCAGTAGATTTTACATGTCTAGTTAATGTCATGTGCATCGCATGTTAATTTGTCAAATCCACTTGTTTAGGCCGTAAACTCTCAAGAGAAGTCCTTTTCGTGCATTTGACTTTTGAAATTGAATCAAAACCTGTACATGCTTATTAAATTATTTGACTTGGACCTCGATGTGCTTTTTTGTCTGACACAATGTGCCAATGTATATAGTTGTATATTGAATTAGTCTGAGCTGCAGGAAAGCATCTATCCCATTAATCCGTTGATATAAGTTTTCAGTCTCGTACTATTGTTTATGTATTTTTATCACTCCTACCCTTTGGTATTGAGTATAAGTTGTTAGTCTTATTGTTTATATATTTTTATCCTCTTACCCCTTGATGTTGAGTTTTAGGCATCCTCTATAAAAAGTTTAGCCTCATGTGCCGTTGGGTTTATAGACATTGACACAATGCCTGATGTTCCCATTCATTTGGAAAGTGAAAATTACATTGTTTCAATGGAGATAAGATTACATGTATAATCCAATGCCAAGGTGTAGGACATGTTGATTATTTTCTTCTGTCAATTAACCTTTTGCTAATTCATATCCTGATGTGATTTCTAAGCTGTGTTGAAAGGAGAGAATGAGACACCAACAATTTTTTTAATCAACCCTGTTAGAGGTCCACCTTGCTTAATAGTGGTGGTTTACCACTGCTCTATTGATAAGATGAGTGTAGTCTACATTTGAACTTTTTTCCCTCTGTCAACCCTGCTCTGTAAACAAACTTATTTTCATTCTATCGGCTATCCATTTATATAACATGTTTATGAGTCCCTCAGATAATTAGGGAGAACCTGGAAGATATCATATTTTATTTCTACTTTTCTGTATAGGAAGTTTGATAATTGGGTTATTTTCTAGGTTGTTGTTTTTTTAACTTTTGTATTATTGTTGTGGACTTTGAGTTGGTTGTCTTGATTTATGAAACTTGAATGATTGATATTTGATCTTGGAAATTGCATACTGAGATTTTTAATTTTTGTTTTTGGAATTTTTCATGCCCATGGTATTGCTGTTTAATTTTACCATTAATGAATGCAGACCTCTTGGTGGAAGTCATGGCTGGGGCTTTGGTTCAGTCTACTAATTTCCCTTCTTTAGTTTGTGAAAGGCATGGGCAACTCAACGGATCTGGGAAAATAAAAAGGATTGTGAAAATGATGTGTACTTTACAAACATCTCCACTTAGGTTGAGAAGTTTCTCAGGGTTGCGAGGATCTAACGCTTTAGATACTTTTAGATCTGGCCATGATTTCCATTCTAAGGTGGCAGCTTCAACCTCTGTCCGGCGAGGAAGGGCTAGCCGAATTGTGCCAAAAGCTATGTTTGAGCGTTTCACAGAAAAAGCAATAAAAGTGATTATGCTTGCACAAGAGGAGGCAAGACGGCTTGGTCACAATTTTGTTGGGACAGAGCAGATTTTGTTGGGCCTTATTGGTGAGGGCACTGGCATTGCTGCCAAGGTTCTCAAGTCCATGGGAATCAATTTGAAAGATGCCCGTGTGGAAGTGGAGAAGATCATTGGAAGAGGCAGTGGATTTGTTGCTGTGGAGATTCCATTTACTCCTCGTGCAAAGCGTGTTTTGGAACTTTCTCTAGAGGAGGCCCGCCAACTTGGTAACTTGCTTCACTTTACTTCTTTTCTTGGGTTAGAAAATTGGAATTGGATTTAAAAATTTCTAAGAAGAATTATAAGGTCTTTTTCCATTCCATTTGTGTGTATGTCTTGTGCTATTCTTAATGTACAGAAGGCTTTGTGGTATATATTTGAATTACACTTGCTAAATATTTGCATTAATTTTATTGCTTAATGTTTCAGGTCATAATTATATTGGGTCCGAGCATTTGCTGTTGGGATTGCTTCGTGAGGGTGAAGGTGTGGCAGCCCGTGTTCTTGAAAATTTAGGTGCTGATCCAAATAATATCCGCACACAGGCAAGTGGGCTCATCAACCCCATTTTTTGTTTTCCCAATTCCATTGATTTAATTACTAAATTCTAATTAACTAAATTTGAATCTTCATTGGGGCAACTAGGTCATTCGAATGGTTGGAGAAAGTACAGAAGCTGTTGGTGCTGGTGTGGGAGGGGGATCCAGTGGCAATAAGATGCCGACACTGGAGGAGTATGGTACTAATTTAACAAAATTGGCAGAGGAGGTAGTTTGGTTTGCGATTAAATTTATCTGTTTCTGCATATGAATGGTTTGGTTTTTCGTAGGATTGCTACTTAAAACTCACCCTCTTTCATTGTTAGGGTAAACTGGATCCAGTTGTTGGAAGGCAGCAACAAATAGAACGTGTGACCCAAATTTTGGGTCGGCGGACAAAAAATAACCCCTGCCTTATTGGAGAGCCTGGTGTTGGAAAAACAGCTATTGCAGAAGGCCTTGCACAACGAATTGCAAATGGTGATGTTCCAGAAACAATAGAGGGGAAGAAGGTGAGTACGAGTTATAGATTGATGTTAGGATCATAACTGAATCCTATACGATTTTCTTATAAAATCATTGTAACAAAGAGCAGTTGCAAGGATATACAGCTAGAAATATGAATTTTTGTTTTACTTGTTTGCATGGTTGAAGGAAAACAAACCATGATTTTTTCATCTTGGTTTTGTAGTGCTTGGTGGCGTGTACAACCATTGTCAAGAAGGTTTTATGTATGCAAGCTAATCTAACTAATCTATCTGAAGGTTGGAAACAATCAGATTGTGTTTTAAATAGGAAGTCGTGGATTCTATTGGACAATTCATGTTCATGTCTCTTGATACATGTTTGATTAGATTGCTCATTGTTGTCCATCTTACTAATCACTTCATGTTCACTATTGGCTTCTGGGTGAATAGTTATTTGGATTCTTGTACACAAAATATCAAACAAAACAAAACAAATTCGAAGAATTCACTGAAGCAGGATTCTTTTGTGTATCTTTAGTATATTATGAATAGAAATGAGCTCAATTAAAGGTTCTACCATAAGACAGATTTATTGCAGTAGATTTCCTCATATGAGAGAGATGGCTCATGAGAATGTGCTTCTGCTTGAACTTCCAAATGTGAGAACTATCCAGCCACAGTTCTTGTTGCAATTTTATGCATAGAGCCTTGCAATATGCTATAAGTGCAGAAAAAGACGGTGAATTTTCCAAAGATCTTTTCATATGTTAATATTGCAATAACTTTAACCTATCCTACATGATGTGTTACAAGTCAGTTCTTAGTCTTTCCATGCAAGATGTTTCTTTTCTGGAAGCTTCCATTTGATAATTTTTTCTGAGAAATTACTTGAGATGTGACATGATTTTTATTTCAAATCTTAAAATCCATTTTATTGCACTTTCAGGGTTATGAAATATGGTAGCATGTTATTATAATGAATTTCCAAATTTTTCATGTTTGATACATTCTTGTTTAATATTGAATAATCACCTGAATACACCTAGAAAGGAAAAAATGGCGTGATCTCAGTAATATTGCTTGTATTATTATTGTTGTTTCTTTTTTCCTTTGAAAACCGGAAGATAATACTGTTATGTTTGGGTAATTCAGGTTATAACCCTGGATATGGGCCTTCTTGTTGCTGGCACAAAATATCGTGGAGAGTTTGAGGAAAGACTAAAGAAGCTGATGGAGGAAATTAAACAAAGTGATGAAATAATATTATTTATTGATGAGGTGCACACGTTGATTGGAGCAGGAGCAGCAGAGGGGGCAATTGACGCTGCAAACATCTTGAAGCCAGCTCTTGCAAGAGGTGAACTGCAGGTACAACTAACACATGTAGCTTTACTTTTTTTATGGCCATGTGTCTTCAATATGGAGTTGACACATTACATTTAGGTAACTTGGAACCACGAACACGCACATGCACACGCACACGCACACTAATCATATAGCTTGTACTTTTCCTTTTAAGCTCTCGCTATTTAGCTTTTCTTTCTAAGCTCTGGCTATTTTAGTATGTATATGGATTTGGCATGTTACAAGTATGTTAGCACAATAGTTTTTGAAGTTGGAAATTTACTAGGAAGGTATATGGGTATGCACAATTATGAGAGCTCATTCTCGTCCTCTTCTCCTAATTGGAACTCAAATTTTTATTTTTTATTTTGTTTAGTGCTTCAGGTCTACACATCAAAAGGAGAAAACTTCAAGCATTTGATAATTTTGGAATAAACACCATGTGGTTTCTCTTTGATACTTCTATTCATACTATACTAAAGAATTGCATCTCAACATCCCAGGTTGAGTCCTGTCCTGGAGTGTCCGGGAATACTTTGTCCAAATTTTAAGGATCAGTGTCCAATTTTATGTACGTATGCAGGACAGTTGAAATATTAAGTCACAATGCTGGCAGAGTGTTTAATCAATGTTTGTAAAGTTCATTAGAATTTTATGGTATAAGGAGTGCTCAATTGATAATCCAGTGTTCTTGATCATCTGTTGATTTACATATTTACCTTCAGATTTGTCAGATTCATCTATTACTATTTCTCGAATTGATTATTTGGTGTACAGGAATTATTTTGATACATTCCTTTCCAAATTTACTTTAGGGCTCATACATTTGCTGTTGAATCTTCTTATTATTTTAGTTTACAGTGGAATAACTAGTGTTATCCCAACCAATGCAGTGTATTGGGGCCACCACACTTGATGAATACAGAAAGCACATAGAGAAAGACCCGGCCTTGGAGAGACGTTTCCAGCCAGTTAAGGTGCCTGAACCCACTGTTGATGAAACTATACAGATTTTGAAAGGGCTTCGAGAGAGATACGAGATACACCACAAGCTTCGTTATACGGATGAGGCATTAGTTTCTGCAGCTCAACTGTCATACCAGTACATTAGGTATGTGGTTTCAGTAAAAAATCACTTTTCAGTGTGTATTCTACACTTCTGCACAAAGTCAGTGACAGATGCACATGAGATGCAATATACCTGTAGCAAAATGAACTGAAACGGCTATACTTATATGGGGAAATGCATTTACAGCCATTTGGTTTCTTCTTCGTAATAATTATATTAGGACAGAAAAGAGTTTGGAAACACACTTTTTGTCAGCAATCTATTAGTGCATAGCAGAATTGCAACATGATTATTGACTGCAGTATTAATAGAAGAATTGCAAATCTTATGTCATTGCTCGTTTTCTTTCTTCTAAATTGTAAACCCTTCTCCACTCCTGCATGCTGGTGGTAATTTCCATCCTGGACCAGTCAGAGTGTAACTGAAGCCAAAATGCGTGCTAACTAGAGAATGAAACCAGCTCTTGCTACTTATTGCTTATATTATATGTCAACACATCAATTTTGAAAGGCTCTAATATTAACTTGATAGAAAATTTCAGGCTAGTTGGCATTGAATTTACTCGTCTAGTAATTTTCACAAATCTTGAAGATCCAAAGAAATATAAATATATTAAAAAAAGGTGAGAAAGGAAAAGCGGAAAAAATTAACCCAAATTGACTCTGCTGAGAATGATAACCACAGGTGGTGGTAAGTTGTCAATAAACCCAGCTATAGAAGCATAGCTAGTTTTAGACATAGAATCATAGATAGTTTTAGACTGATTCTTAACCAATTCCAGCTAGTTGGGTTGGTACCAACAGTCATGAGGTTCGTTCTGTAGGATTAGGTGGAACCCAAATTTTTATTAGATTTTGGTTTGGTTTTGGCAGGTGAGGAAATTTTTTAAAAAAAAATGTTGAAACTATCCCTTGAAGATCACTCTGACATATGCATCGCTCATCTATGCTATTATCTATCTATACTATTATTATTATTACAATATATGTGAAGACCAGACTTGGGGGAGCTTCTATTTGCACACACCCATTCTCCTCTTTACACATCTTTTTCAATAAATAATTGGTTCGGAAGTAGAGTTCCAAAAATAAACGATTGGTTCGGAAGTAGCATTCCGAAAATAAATAATTTGTTCGGAAGCAGAGTTCCAAATTTTTTTCATTTTTTCAACATTCAACTTTCGAATGTATTTATTTTATGTCCATAATAGTAATTTCACTTGAAAATAAAATTATAATAAAAATAATTTTTATTAAGTGTGTGTAAAGAAGGGAATGGGAATGTGCAAATAGAAGCTCCCCGGACTTGGTGTTTATGTGTCATTTTTTCCCCCCAAAATGCCCCTAGGGCAATTAGGTGGGCTTAATAATTAATGACTTTATATTATACAAAAAATCAATCACTAACTATTACATATATATATACATATTTTAACCAAGCCAAATAGATAATGACCACACTTCTTATTATTATTATTATTTTCAAACAATATATAGATATACACACACAAACAAAATGGTTTAGTGATAGCAACTGAATAGAATAGCATAGGTCTTATAGTTTCAAAAAATCAATAACATATTCTTAATCTTCCCTCTTCTCTCTCTCTCTCTCTCTATATCTCTTGCTCCTCCATTTTCTCTCTTTATCTTCCCTCTTCTCTCTATCCTTATTCCCCCACTTTCAGCTTTTTTTTGTGTGTTTTTTCGAAGGAAACAGTTTGGAATTGTTACGTAACGGTGCGTAACAGGCCGTTACGGCTGTTACGGCACCGTTACGACCGCTACGACAGCCGCTACAACCTACACACCTGTGAATCTCAATCACACTGCAAAAGCGGCCGTAACGGGTGGCGGTAACCGCCAAAACCGTTACGTAACGGCGTTACGTAACGGTTGCGGCCGCTTTTTAAAACCTTGCACACACCCATTCTCCTCTTTACACATCTTTTTCAATAAATAATTGATTCGGAAGTAGAGTTCCAAAAATAAACGATTGGTTCGGAAGTAGCATTCCGAAAATAAATAATTTGTTCGGAAGCAGAGTTCCAAATTTTTTTCATTTTTTCAACATTCAACTTTCGAATGTGTTTATTTTATGTCCATAATAGTAATTTCACTTGAAAATAAAATTATAATAAAAATAATTTTTATTAAGTGTGTGTAAAGAAGGGAATGGGAATGTGCAAATAGAAGCTCCCCGGACTTGGTGTTTATGTGTCATTTTTTCCCCCCAAAATGCCCCTAGAGCAATTAGGTGGGCAGTTATGCCCTAAATTCAGGTTTTTTTTTTTTTTTTTTTAAATTTATTTTAATCTTTCAACTTTTGATATCAGATTTTAAATTCTATACTATTATATACATGAAGACCAAACTCTGGTGTTTATGTCTCATTCTTTTGGTTTTTCCAAAATACCCCTAGAGCAACTGGATGGGGCAGTTATGCCCTAAATTCAGGTTGGTTTTTTTTTTTTTTTTAAAAAAAAAAAAAATCTCTCAACTTCTAATATCAGATTTTTAATTCAATCATACAGTTTACAATCTAATTTTTCTAAAACAAAATGATCATATGCGCACGCATCGCATGTGCCACAACTAGTCTACTAAAATGAAAGGGGGGAGAGAGGGAAACAAGAAACAAAAGGGGCCGCAATATGCAATGACAGCTTAGTTTTAGGGGTGTGCACAATTAACTAACTTAGGAGCTGTTATATAAATTTGAGTGACCAAGTTAGCAAAGTGATACAAATTAGAGGATATTCTTCATATATATTTTTCCAGAAGTTTATCCGTAATTTCCGTGATTAATGGTTGGCTTCTTGTTCACAATCTATTTTGCATATAGTTATACTCCTACTATGTGTATCATTTCTCTTGTGCAGTTATACTCAGTTCTGCATTTGATGAGCGTTTTTGTACATTTCAGTGACCGCTTCCTGCCTGATAAAGCAATTGACTTGATTGATGAAGCTGGCTCTCGGGTTCGGCTCCGCCATGCTCAGGTATGATTACTTATGCCAGCCTTGTTAGTAACCCTTTTTTCCCTGTTACACTTTTAGGTTGTTGAATCTCATTCACTGTTCTCTGCAGCTCCCAGAGGAGGCCAAAGAGCTAGATAAAGAGCTAAGGCAGATCACAAAAGAGAAGAATGAAGCTGTTCGCAGTCAGGACTTCGAAAAGGTACTCATAAGATGCACTAGGTGCAACCTTTTTTGGTTATGAACAAGATATATAAGTCATATTTGGGCTCACCAAAGTAGAAAATTATGAGAAATTCAACACCAAGGAGTATTCCTTCGAAGTGTGTGTCGTAAATAAATATAGGCAAAATTACACTTCACCTTCTTCAACTATGGGCAGTTGTCATTTTATCTCCCTTAATTAAAAATTGTTGCATTTTACCACAGTAATCTTCTAATTTGTTTCAATTTCAACCTCATATTAACATTTTGTTACAAAAGGGGATGGAAAAATGGCATGTGAGCTACACCTACTAATTGTATGACCAAAGTGCCCATTCAAGAGTTGATTTATTTACATATATAAACTAGTTCTTGAATGAACATTTTGGTCATAAAATTGGGATATACAGCTCACATCCCACTTCTGCATATCATCTTTTCATTACAAAATTGTAATAAATGGTTGAGATTGAAACATTTCAGAATGTTAGGGGGTGCAAAATGTAGCAATTATTAGTTGAGGGGGGTAAATGTAATTTGCCCATAAATATAAAATTTTAATTATTAGTTGAGGGGGGTAAATGTAATTTGCCCATAAATATAAAATTTTTGACTGATTCTGAGCTGTTTAGGATGCTGAATGCACCTACCCTTCTCATTTTTATCTACAAAGCTTAAATTCTTTTTTTTTTTTTTTGATAGGCTGGGGAGTTACGTGATAGAGAAATGGACCTTAGGGCTCAGATCACGGCTCTTATCGACAAAGGCAAAGAGATGAGCAAAGCAGAGACTGAAGCAGGGGACGGAGGTCCTGTGGTGACCGAAGTCGACATTCAGCATATAGTCTCTTCATGGACTGGCATTCCGGTTGAGAAAGTGTCTACTGATGAATCTGATCGCCTCCTCAAGATGGAAGAAACTCTCCACAAGCGAATCATTGGTCAAGATGAAGCTGTCAAAGCGATCAGCCGCGCCATTCGCCGTGCTCGTGTCGGACTCAAAAACCCCAATCGGCCCATTGCTAGTTTCATCTTCTCCGGTCCTACCGGTGTCGGAAAATCAGAATTGGCAAAAGCCCTAGCTGCCTACTACTTTGGCTCTGAAGAAGCCATGATCAGGCTCGATATGAGCGAGTTCATGGAGAGACACACTGTCTCCAAGCTCATCGGTTCACCTCCCGGCTATGTTGGTTACACTGAAGGAGGTCAACTAACCGAGGCTGTTAGGCGTCGTCCCTACACTGTTGTGCTCTTTGATGAGATTGAAAAGGCTCACCCCGATGTCTTCAATATGATGCTTCAGATTCTCGAGGATGGTAGGTTGACTGATAGCAAAGGTCGAACTGTGGATTTCAAGAACACGCTTTTGATTATGACGTCAAATGTCGGAAGTAGTGTGATTGAGAAGGGAGGCCGCCGAATAGGGTTCGATCTAGATTATGATGAGAAAGATAGCAGTTACAACCGAATCAAGAGCCTAGTGACCGAGGAACTCAAGCAATATTTTAGACCCGAGTTCTTGAACAGATTGGATGAGATGATTGTGTTCCGGCAACTCACGAAGCTCGAAGTGAAAGAAATTGCTGACATAATGCTAAAAGAAGTATTTGACAGATTGAAGATCAAAGAAATCGAGCTACAGGTCACGGAGCGGTTTAGAGATAGGGTTGTTGATGAAGGGTACAACCCGAGCTATGGAGCAAGGCCTCTTAGAAGAGCCATAATGAGACTTTTGGAGGACAGTATGGCTGAGAAGATGTTGGCAGGAGAGATCAAAGAGGGTGATTCAGTTATTGTTGATGTTGATTCTGATGGTAATGTTACTGTTCTCAATGGTAGCAGCGGTGCGCCTCCCGAGTCATTGGCAGAACCAATCACTGTGTAGGTCATAGACTTTGCTATTTTGACCTTATTTATATATTTTTACTGAAGTTGGCTTCATTGATAGACTGGTTGGTGAGGCTGGGGGAGCCAGTCTTATGAATCTGTGACTAGGGTTTAAGAGTGTATCTATTGCATTATGAATTGCACTCGTAGTTCAAGTTGAAACAGTAGGATGTTGTTAGTGATAGATTCGCAGAGATTTCATGATAACAGGACATGTAAATCAAATTCAAGTGTCAGTTTGGTTTTGCTTTCTCTGATTTATTCAATGACGGGCATTCTTTATTTGTTGTGATATCCTTGGGAATATTTTCAATTTTTACTTGGTCGAAACCTTACTCCAAGCAGCCTGAATGAGGTTTGCCTGGGCTTGGGGTTTGAGCCTGCTCTGTTTGTCGACCAATCGACCTGTGAGCCTGACAGAAAATATGAAAAAAATGAGGGAAAATGAATAGAAACACACAAAACTAGAAGGCTCATCTCAACCCCTTGGGCTAAACCTGTGAGCCAGCCCCTTTATTGGCTTGTGACAGGCAATCCATTGATTCACCTGCAAGCTTATCTAGGCCAAACCTGTTAGACAAGGATCATAAGAACACAGACTAAACACAATGAGACACAGATGTCTCACAAATAGTGGGTTCGACAAGAGGATTCAACCTTCTGTGTGCCTCATCGCCTCATCTCTTGTGAGACATTGTGTCTCATTCTGTATTTGATTCTCTATACATTTACTGCATTTATTTGTTTGGTCTTCTGTGCACTTATTACATTTGTTTGAAACAGTATGTATCACTGTTGCACATAATATCTTGTATCACAGCAAAATGGGATATACAAATTTGTTAATAAACTTTTTTTTTTTTCCGCCCTTATAAGTACATGCCAAAGGGTGCAACCTCATACACGATGTACACAGGCTACCAAAACTACTAAAAACAAAATCACCTGTTTTTTTAACAGAATAAAAAGAAAAAAAAATAAAGATAGAACTTCAATACACGATAAATATACAATCTTCATCTACGGGTATTTATGCGAATGATCAGCGCATCTGGTATATCTGACATTTCTTCCACCTTGCTAACTTGAGAAGCATTTGGATCCTCATCCCGAATAAATCAACAATGGCATAGCAGAAAATGCAGGTCCCTGGGTTTTTGACACGTATAGGTCAAGTTGTCTCAAGAATTTCTGATGATTACACCACTTTTCTAAGGCAGCAAGAGCATTCTGGTAAAGTTAACTGATAGTAGAGCATTATAGAGAGGAAGATTCTTGTATTGGAGCAGTACCGGAGGAGAGTTGAGAAAGGCTTGTTTGAGGTTAATATCATCAATGCCATTGAGGTCGTAGAAGCATTTTGACACACACTCGTACTTTACTCTGGACAAATTATAAATGGAAGCTTACCAGTCAAGTCTTATTCATCCATCATTGAATTAGATTGCCTTTGTGTAGGGCTGACACTTCCACCTCTACTCATCTTGAGTGCACTCAAAGCTTTTTGTATTTCCATCGTCATGGCACTATCCACGCTTCCTGATGATAGCTTCTTGTGTGCTTTCTGCAAATGAAGCTTGAGTGAGCTACTGCTTAACCCGGCATTCTTTCCACAGATGGGACAAACTTTTATCAATGGTTTCCGATGATGCCATTCCATGGAAACCTTCCCATACAACTTCTGGTCTAGCTCCAAAAGAATCTTAGCAAAACCATCATTGGGCTGGGCTCGCCGGTGCACACGTTTCAGCATGTTCCATGCTTCCAACAGAGTTTTCTTCCTACATTATAACAGAACAGGAACCATCAATAACGAAGTTTTTGGTCGGTAAACATTCATTGTGAATTGACTTCCGGACAACACATTCTTATCTGTTATTGATTATTATTATTATTATTTTTTAAATGTATCAAAAGTTTTTACTTTCCAAGTCAGTCTAGTAAATAAAGATCTAAAAAGTTCAAAACAAAAAAGACAAAAAAGAGTAAATTTTTTAGCTTTTTTTAAAATTTTAGTTGACTTTTTTTATTAAAAAAAAAATCACTTTTCAGGTCTGTCTAGTCAAGTAAGTCTTAAAATCAGTTTTTTTTTAAGAATTTAGAGAGAGAAAAAAAAAGGTTCACTTAAGAAGAAAAACCAATGAAACGTTACTAAAAAAACTATTGTCAAACCTGTGTATAATATTATTAGGATAATGGCGTGCTAAAAATCTACCAATGGGAGGGTTCCGCACCAAATGTAAATTTTCCTCAAGAAATATGTATAACAAATGACATGTACCATTCAACTATGCAAATGTCACTTACTTTCTGAGCATTAAGTAAGCAAGAACTACTGTTGCACTTCTACTTCTCCCTTCAAAGCAATGAACTAGAACCTTCCCCCCTGCTTGTTCAACATGATCAATAAAATCATGCGCTTCTTCGAATATACTGCTGATGTTTGTATCTTCCTCATCGCATATCTGTTCATATGGGATAAAGACATTATAAAGCACTCACAGAAATTATTTCATATAAATTGATTAATGATGCATGCCTCAGAGTTGTCTATTCAACCAAACAATGCCGAATTCAAACATATTTGGGGAGGTTACGACTTGGTGTAAGAAAATGGACGGCAAAATAAACAAAAATATATATACATACATATAAGGTTCTTCACGAGTTTGTAATGCCTCAAAAGAAAAGCAGCCATCATATAATATATAAATATAAAATATACATACAAAGTGCCACCTAGCTTAGCCAGTAAAGTTTATTGGCAGTAGTACCGTAGACCTGTGATCCAATTCCACCACCATCTGATGTATAGGGGGTTATGTGTAGCCCATCACCAAAGGACAAAAAAGATGAAAAATAAATATATATGCATACATACATACATACATATGTCTATATAGCAGCGTAAATTTAGGTTATATAGGGAAAAAAAAAGTCACAAACATTAACCCCTGCAGGGAGAAAAAAAAAAAAAACTCAAGGAACGAGAGACGGGAAGAAAAGTACTTACAGAAAAATTTCTATATTCAAATAAATCAGAATACTGAGAATCTGACTGTCCAATTTCATTAGAGCATAAGCACAATATATGTGTGATCCCCACATGCTGTAGTGTGTAAACAGATCTCGCAGCCAAGGCCCCACCAATAAAAAGGCTACGTGAAATTGGTGACGGCTTCTCTGTGTTTGCAGCATCTGATATCAATGCTATTCTGTCAAGAATGTGCTCAAGTCTAACCTATAAATATAAGGAATAGATAAGTAAATTCTATCTGTATAAGAAAACACAAGCCAAGATAATGAGAGCAGTTAATCCATATATGTGAAAAATTCTTCCTAAGTTGGACAAGATCATTACCTTCAACTCATAAGCATCAACAACACTATTATTATCACTGCCCTCAAAAAAACCGGTATTGAAATTGTTCTCCTGGCATAGTTTTACAGCATCATTTCTTAGCGTTTCATTCCATTGTTCCAATTCTTGGTTTAGTTCCGCATCGACCTGAAAAAGATGATGAGAGATAAAAATCTCATTCAGACAAAGTTCTGTTGAATTAAGAAATGAAGCATCACATAAACTCTTAGTACAACTATGCTTTTAATGTGTATGGAACCCTTCAATAAAATGCAGAAGACAAAATATCACTACTTCAATCAGGGCATTTTATTTAGCCAATTGTACAGAATGCATGTGGTTTACCCATGTTAATAGGGCAAGAAAATATATGTCCATTAATAGCCGCTCTGCACATGGAGGTAAGGTTACATAAAATTGACCCTCCCCAGACCCTACAGCGGTGGGAGCCTCGTGCATTGGGACTGCCCTTTTTAATAGCATGCCTAAGCTTAAAGCACGTGTTCTCAAAATGTGGCACCAGTCAATGAAATCCACCTACAAAGCAGTATTTCCCAAAAAAATTGCCAACTAAAAAATCAAAAGCACCACTGCGTAACAAATCAAAGCCATACGTATCAAGGTCAATTCTTCAAATTAACATTGATGTACATAATTTTACCACTTCAAACGAGAAGCAAACATTGACTAGTGTGTCATTGATTCTTCTATACTATGGTCTGTCAGAAGGAAGATGCCATCCCTCTGAAGAAACAAGATCAGCAGCCTCAGTTCTACTGGAGAATCCATATATGTGTATGCTGTGAAGTGTGAAAATAGAACAATACCTTCGTTTGTGAGCAGTGATTTCTGTTTCATGTCTACACAATATAATTTTTATTTTTCCAATAGCAATGTAGTCCTCGAAGAAAATGGCAAACCTTAGCAAATCTGTGGAAATCACGAAGCTTTGTTGTCATACGCAAGCTACGAAGTGCTTCCCCGCTCCCTTTATTGAACTTTCCATGCCAACCATCTCGTGACATGGGAGAACTACAGTCCGAGCTCTCTTTGCATCCTGAAGATGATGACCTAGGAGCTGTCCTCTGCAATTCGGGATCATTTAAATCAAGATGGTTGTCATTAGTAACCCGTTCCTTAGCTGGTGGAGAGGGACAATGAATGCCTATCCCTGCAACATGTGATAGTGTCTCAGGAAGCACTAAATCCTCTTTGTCAAATTCCCCTGAGGATGTTCTATTTATAATATTCAGAAATACTCGTAACAGGCAATCCAATCTTTGGTGAAGTGTAAGTAGGAATATATGAAATCCCTGCAAGTCCCTTAGAGCTGCACGGAATCCACTCCGAAATTCATGAACAACAGAAGTCATGTCAGTGGAACGCAAATCAGTAATTACATCAGCATCATCTGGTGGACATCCTAATTTCCCTCCAGTTATTTCGTATAGCAGATTTGAGGAGTATTGAGAACTGTTGATGAGGAGCTCAACCAGTTTAGGATAGTTCACATGGTCATTTGAACGCTTCCCAGCAGGCGGTCGGCGCGGAACACCAGAGTCAATGGCCACAATATGAAAATCAGACACTGTTGTTGATGCATTTGAAGCTTGACTTTTTAGGCTCATGTTGCTAGATTTTGGTGATTCTGTGATATCAGAAAGATCAGAGCTCTGTGATACCAATCCTGAGTCAGATGGGGTCAACCTGCTATCTACTGAAATCGATCTTCTTTCTTTCTGAATAACCCTTGGTCTGTATCTCTTGATTGCTGAATCAAAGGCTTCCTCCAATGCATCCATATTTTCCGATGCCATTTTATCAGCCAACAATAAATTTGCACAATTTCCGCGCCACCTGAGTTGACGACAAGGAAGCCTATCTTCATTTCTGATGACTAGGTCCAACATCAAGATCCTGCCTAGAGCTGCTGCTGTCTTTTCTGCAGCTTCTTGTGAGTCAAATGCATTAGAACTTTCTAATAGAGGAGATCCATGTACATAACTGCAAAAACAAAAGTTTTTTTTTTTGTTTAGGAGAAACAAATCAAAATTTTATAACCACCATAGTTTACATTTTGTGGTGTTTTGCATCATGAAATTTCATGCTTCCTCCTCTAATTGATGTCTACATGGCTAAAAATCAGATTCTGTACCCACTTCATTAGAAAAAGACATCGGCTCAGCTCAAGAGCTTCCAAAAGTTCTGAACATGTCAGTTCACCAGCTTCATCTCCCTCTGGAATTGCTGCATCTCTTGCTTTCTCTGCAGCTTCCTTGATCTGCAACCACTCAGGACTAGAATTGTGAACTACTCTAGCCTGCAATGTTTTCAAGGCAAATTTTTTCCCAATGTCAGACTTATGGACCTAGTTGGTAAAAATCAAGTAACAGCTTAAGTAAGAAAGTACAACTTGTGGAGTTCGGACTCCTAGCCACTTTGCAAATTCATAGCCGAGGCGTTCTGATTGTGTAGCCATTCTTGAAGATGATATCTTAATAACAGCAGCTACTTCCTTGGGAAAGGTATCATCATGCACAGGTCGGTTGAATAGAGCAAAAAAAACAACTCCCCCAGAATTCACAGTGACCTGTATCCACATGAATATAAGAGAACAGATAATGCATAAACAATAATGTTTAGTTATATTTTTTGCTTCATTAAAATGTGCAAAAAAGAAAAAGAAAAAAGGAAATAGTGCAAAGAAAGGCGCACACAACACATTATAAACATATGTATAATTATTATTGCTAAACATTATTTGTACTTCAGATTGGATAAGAGCCAGTCATCTTCCTCAGCAAAAGAAGATAGCAAGAAGGCATAAATTGTGCACAAGTTTTTGCATAGCCCTCTAACATAAAGAACGGGGCATGGTAATACGAACTAAAAGCTCCACTAATTTCACTCATTCCTGTCTACAAACGTCCAAAGTCCTCTCTTCATTGAAACAGAGTATTGAAATGATATAGATGTGATAAGAGATCAAAATTTAACCCGGTTTTGGTGTTTCTTGTTGTGGAGAAAAAATAGACAAGTACATTGTATCTGAACAGTTATGGAACGGTGTCAATAATATTGTTCTTCAAAATTTGGAGCTTAGAAGGATTGCATACCTCCAAGGCTTTATTCATTTCTTCCTCAGACGGCTCAGTGCTACTACCATGTTCAGTGTGGTGAAGTGAAGAAAGCATGTCCCACGAAAAGGAACTTGTCTCAATGTCCATCATACCAACTTTACCAAGTCTTTCCCACAAACTGATTTCTGTAGCTTTCTCAGAAGGTGGAGAACTTTTTAAATCAGAAATTAAGTCTCCTGCACTGAAATCTTAATCATAATGAGAACCATGCTAACAATGTTTTAAGAACCGGACCTGACCGGCCAGTTCAACCGGTAGAACCTGTGACCGGACCTAGTTCTGGTCTGGATGACACACAAAAACCGGACTAGGCCAAAAACCGGCCTTATTTGCAAAAGCTGGTGGTTCAACCGGTAAAACCGGCAAACCGGTCCTGGTTCTCGACCAACCCGGTTGGTGTTTTATTCTATAAATATTTTTCTTATTTTCTTCTCTTTCTTTCTTATATTTATATATATATATATATATATATCAAAATTTTGACTAAAAACTCTTACTTCAAGAGTCTCCTTTCATGAGAAGTTGCTCATTGAAAGTTTGAAGAAATTATAAAAATCTATTCCTATTTATAGGAAAAAGTTGTTCAAAGAGAACCTAAAAATTTAATGTGGGATTCAATCAAATTGTTTGAATCATATTGGATTGGAGGGAAAGTTGAAAATTTCATTTCCCTCCAATATTCAATCAATTTGTTTGGAGGGAATGTTAAATTTTTTTAATTTCTTTAAAACTAGTGACTTTTTATTTATTTATTTATCAATTATGACTTTATTAAATATTATTAGTAAATGTTATACAACACTTTTTTTTATTATTTCAGTAATTATATATATTTTTATTTATTATAATTTATAATTATAATTATATAATATTAATTATGACGACCGCTTCGACCTAACGGTTGAACTAGTGACCCGTCTATCAAGTCTCATTTTCGGTTCACTTACCGGTCCGGTTTTCAAAACATAGCATGCTAGCATGCTACTATAACAATATCAAGCTATATAAGTCAAACAACTTGATTATGTTTTTGGCACACAATAGGAAATCAAAAATTATCACAATTTCAATTAGAGTGCTGCTCTAGTCTAAAAATTAGATTCACTTTCCAAATCTCATGATATGACAGTTTATTAGAATATCTAAGGCAACTCTCTTTTCCATGTCTTCTTTCATCATCAGCCAACCATCTCTTTTACTGCACATCACAAGGCCTTGAAAATAGGTCTACAAAGTGGGGTTTTTTATATCATGTTCCATTCAATTATTTGTTGGTAGCACCAAGGACGTAGTAGATCTCCATTGTACAGGGTAATTACTGCTTTAACTTTAAGTGACGTAAATTACAATAACAAAAATTAAGATAACGTTGTGAGCTAAAAAATAAAAATAATAGAAAAAATAACGACAAAGATGAAGGGCACAGTTCATTTTTGGTCTTTAGATAGAAATCTAAGACCTTGAAAGTGTGAAAACAAAATGTCAAAAATATTATTAGTTTTAAAACACAGAATATCGTTATATATACAGACCGCATGATAAAACTGATAGACTGAGACAGAGAATGAGGGGATAAGAAGATTTAGTTAAGTAATTTCTTCCCTCTCCAGTAATTTGAATCAAACACACCAGTTTCAAACCACAATTTTTATTTTGTAAAGCAAAACCGAAATGAAATATTATTATAAATGAAATTTCACAAGCTAAAGAAGAGTATTAATTTGTAGTGTAAAATTTTACTCAATTCAATTGTGTCAATTGGATTAGTCCAAGTAGTAATTACAAGTAAAAAGATTACTTAAAAAGCAATTAATTAGCAATCAAATTAAGAAGAAAGAAAACCTCCAGGCGAAGGGCATAGTATTATTGGAAGAGTGAGATCGGTGGGGAAAGCCGGAGGAGCGATATGTCCCACTGCGTTTACGAACCAGTTCCAACCATTGGGAGAACCGATACGCCGGATTCGCTGCAATGTCCCCCAACATATACAACACCTGCATCCACCACCATCATCATAAACATCAAAAATGCATTGCTTTCTCTCTCTCTCTCTCTCTAGAACTTACCCTAGAAGTGACGGTGAGGGGGAGTGGGGACTCAGGTTGGTTAGATCCGAGATCAAACTCCTTGTCTTCCTCGTCTCTCTGCAAACATATATGCATATATATGATGAGTAATGAGATCGAATATGTGAAATGAGTAATGAGAACCCTAGATCCAGAAATGTGCATATAAATGTGTACTACTATCGAGAGGAAGAGAGAGAGTACCTGGAAGTTGGTGGTGGTGGTGTTGATGATGGGAGGGCGATGCTTTTGTTGTGTGGCCATTTGTTTTTTTTTAACTTCACGAAAACAAAAAAGGGTTTTTCTTTTGCGTAGTTTCAAAAATAGAAATACTAGCGAGAGAGAGAGATAGGCAGTTGTTGCGTTTTCGTTGTCTTGAAAAAGAATTGGGGTTCCCGCTTTTTCTGGTTCTTGGTGGAGCCTCCTCCTTCCTGTCTTGAGTCTGATTGACAGAGAGAGAGAGAGAGAGACAGAGAGTATGGATCTGGCAGTTGTACTGGGCACAACTGTTAGATAGATGCAAAATTGAGGGAATTCGTAAAAATACGTGCTCAGTAATAAGGTCGGTTTTGCCGGCGTTGGATACTTTGCTGTTCGCTTTGTTTCTTGTGGCTTGTAATCATGTTTTGACAAGTGGCTAACTCCCCACTAACACTCGAGTCCAGATCCCCTCCTTGAGCCCCTTCTTCATTCCCTCCTTACAGGGGCCTTCGGGTTCACTTTGAGGCCCATTTTTGATAATCTGAACCGTTCATATTTTTAAGATTTATTCAGTATATTATACCTGTAAAAAATCAAGTTGATTGGATATCAGAAAGTATGCGTTCAGAAAATTGGGACTACAAACTATTTTTTAATAAACAGTTTTCCGAACACATACTTTATGATATTCGATCAATTTGGATTTTTACAGGTATGATATACTGAATAAATCTAAAAATATGAACGATTCAGATTATCAAAACTGTGCCTTAAAGTGGACCCGAAGACCCTTGCAAGGAGAGAATGAAGGAGGAGCTCAAGGGAAGGATCCCAATTCCTAACACTCACCCACTAACATTGGAATGTTTGAGAATGGATTTAAAAACAGGCAGGGACTTTCCTTCGGCCCCAGATTGAATTAGAGAGTATTGTTGGTCCCTAAGAATTTATTAAGGTTTTGTTTTGATAATTTAAATTATTTAATGTATAAAACTTGTTAATTATTATATATATAGGTATAAATTATATTTATCGGATATCAATAGTTATCTCATTAGATTAATTTTCTGTCACCGTTTATTTTTTTACTGTATATTTTTTTATATACAAAACTAATTTCATCACGTAATTATCAATATCAGATTAATGTGAGTTTTATATACATATAATACTCGATAAGTTTTACACATTGAACAATTCAAATTATCAAAACAGGACCCATAGTGAACCCTCACGAACCCAATAACACCCTCCAATTGGATCTAGGATTGAAAGGAAGCCAAATCTTTAAAAATATATATATATATATATATAATTTTAAAATTTTATGTTTTATTTAATTTCATATATTTTTTTTCAAATTTTTTAACAGAACATAACACAACTCTTCTATTTTCTTATTAATCATTGCTAATTTTCTAAGCATTCCATTACCACCCGAACATCATTTTCTTACATCAGTTTACATTTTTATTTATTTAGACAGATAAAAAAAATATATAATTTTATTTCACATATCTTTCACATAAAAATATGTGTTGAGTAATACTTAAGGGATTGTTTGGGGTGTTCTAAATAAATATATTTTTTTTATCTTTTTGGACTAGAAAGTTGAGAAAAAAAATATAGATGTTTGGATTAGTTTTTTGATTTTTTTATGAAAAAGTGTGTATTAAAAAATTGTATAAATAAGTGTATAGGAGAAGATAGTGTAATACACTATACAGATAGGCAGGCAGTCGGCTGGGTAAATACATGGGAAAAAATTGTCTCCTTTTCGGGCTTTGATTGGACGGTGTTGTTCGGCCCATGAGAGCCCACCACGGGTCCTGTTTTTCTAATCATAACCGTTGAATGTGCTTATAAAAAATCACATTGATTGGATATCGATAGCTATCTGATCGTGTTAGTTTTTTTGTCAACTGTTAACTATAATACCATCAAATTTTTATACAAAACTAATTTGATCATGTAGTTAGCGATTTCCAATAGATGTGATTTTTTGTAAATATATAGTAGTAGACGAGCTCTATATCTTCTACGGTTCGGATTATCGAAACGGGACCCATGGTGGGCCCCACGGGTCCAGCTTTACCATCCAACTTAGTGAATGTGCACATGTAATTTTTTTTTTCCATTTCTCTGCAGTTGGCTTGACGTCAGACATTGATAGGCCAAAAAGTTATTTATATTTTAATATTTGTATATTAATTTTTTTTTATTTTTTATAAATAGTAATAACTTTTTAACTTTTTTTACACTTGCCAAACCAGCCTAAGTGTAGCGGGTTATCATGTTATTTGCACATGTGATATTACCAATAATTATAATTTATTATTATTTATTAATAGTTAGATTATAACATTGATCAACGTCACTTTAACACAATTGATCAGGGTCATAATAAAATATAAAGGTAAATTATATATACATCTCTAAAATTTATTTAAAATATGGATTGCCTGTTGTGATTTAAAAAATGACAATACTACTTTATTTTAAATTTTTTATTTAATATAATTAACTGAAAAAGTGTTTTTTCTAACTGTTCTTCTATATAATAATAATAATAAAATTACATAAATTATTAACTAAAATATATTTCTAATATCATTTAAAATTATTAATTCACTTGATAATTTATTAATAAAAAAGATAATTTATTATAAAATTAAAAACTTCAAAAAAAGAAATATAATTTTTAAAACTATAAGAATAATTTATATTTTAAACCAATCTTATAACATATTTATAATTTACCCTGCATGTAAGTACTATTCCTTTCCTTCTCTTTCACCCTTTGCCTATCGCCAATATTGACTTCCTCCTTTGGCCCACCAAGGATGGCAACAAATCGAATTTTTTAAATTTTGTGCAGGAATTCTTACTTTTCAAATTATGGGAAATTTTTTTTAAGATCTCTGATTTTAAGATTTTATAGTATAAATAACACTTAATATTTTTATAACGTTTAAGGTCCCTCAATATCAATCCAAAGAAAATTTGATTAAGAGAAAATTTGATTAAGAGAATTTCTCTAGACAAATCACAGAGAAATTTCCAAATTTCTCTGGACACATCACAGAGAAAATCTTACCAGATAATTTTTCTAAATTCAACCCAGAGAAATTTCTCTTTCCACTCTAGAGAAAATCCCCTCCAACCAGAGAAATTCACCCGTGTTGTCTCCAGTTTGATGGCTTTAGTGATTTGGATATATATTCACAGAGAAAATCTCACCAAAGAATTTCTCTGGATTCAAATTCTTCAAAACTAGCTCTCCATTCCAGAGAAATTTACTCAAAAAAAAAAAAAAAAACCACAACCCGAAAATAATGACTTAAATTATTGAATATCTCTGCAACTCTCTGCCTCATCCATTTATCCATCAATCCCAAAAACCCAACTCAATCAAATCTACAATTAACCAATTTAATGCCCTTTTCCTCTAATTTTTCCTTTCCACACAACAACCATCATCCCACAATCTCTCTCTCTCTCTCTCTCTCTCTCTCTCTCTCTCATATTTTGGAGTTTGGATCTCTAACTATGGCAAACCAGCAGCACAAGCACTTTCTTTCAACAATCCACTATTCCCTCAAAGGTATATCTCATTGAATTGTAAATGCCTTTGTATGTATTCATTATCTGAAATTTCTTATTTGCATCTTCTACTGCTATCTTCAGAATTAGAAAATGTCAATTTATTTGGGCTAAATTCCATCTTTATGATTATGGGACCGTTTGTTTTGTAAGAAAATAAAGGAAAATGATCTTACTTTTCTCATCTTGCTAATTTCTATTTTTGGCTTCTAATAAATGAAACAACCAACTCTTCAAATAACCCTAATGATTTATCAGGTTCCTTTTTAATTCTATTTTTGGTCATTCAAATTTCTCTAGACACTTCAACCTAGAGAAATTCTTCAAAACCAGAGAAATTCCCCATTCACTGTAGAGAAATTCACTCAAACCCAGAGAAAATCCCTTTCCAACCCAAAAAATTCACTAAAACCAGAGAAAATCCCCCTCTCACACCCAGAGAAATTTCCCCTCACAATCTTTTCTGGTTGAAAATCATAAACCTCAGGCAAAATGTGTTTTATGGTTCACAAGAACAAAATAAATAAATAAATTGATCAAAACAAAATACTAACAAGTCGAAGAAAACTCATTCAATTGTTTACAAGAAAAATAAATATTAGAAATTACTTACAAGAAATTTACCAGGCAAGTCAAGAGACAAAAAAAAAACATCGTCCATGTAAAGGTCCTCAAGCTCCAACCATCTCACAGTGTCATCTCCTTTCTCGTTTGCATTATGAATTTTAGTCTCTACAATTTCCACCACATTCAATTTGGTAACATTCATATATGAGCCTCCACCAGCAGAATCGTCTGTCACTTCTTGTGCATCCAAATTAAAATCAATATCAACACACATTAATGAAGCCATACTTTCAGCCAAACCTGGAACTTGCTCCAACTGTTTGCGGGCATCGGAGAGTCTAAACGTCCAGGCATGGTCGGAGAGGAGGACGTGGGAATCCTTAGCTATGAAATCAGAGGTAAGTTCTTCGGTGAAAATTGGCGAACTCATGGAGATCAATGAATCCATCACCATCGTTGTCAATCTCCAACATTACTCGCTTGACTTAGATAGAGATAAATCTGAGAAATGAGAGAGGCATGGTGATGGTGATCGGAAAGAGGGAAAGATAGTCAAATTTCTGTGATCTGATATATGGGTGTGGGTTCAAGGACCTTAAACATCAAAAAATAATATTATGGATCTATTCCATTACTAAAAATGAGAGAGAGACCTTAGATTAATTTTTCCTAAAATTAATTATTTTAGTAATACAATTTAATTATTTACTATAAACTCAACAATTTTCACCTACATATCATTATATTTTACTCTACCAAATTAATACTATCTCAAACCATTTATATTAAAATTGAATTGGAACAAATATAATTGAGTCAAAAATTTTTCCCATCTAACCACCTTTCTTTCTCTCACTTATTTTTAAAATAAAATTTTATAAAAACATATTTAATAATCCTGATTTTTGATTTTATTTTTATGAACATAAGTATAAACATGTTTAATATATTTTATAAATAAAATTTAACAAACTATAAACATTGCCCTACGACAATGCTGTAAATACGAACTTTTGGGATGTTTTAATGATCAAAGAGTCGAAAAGGGTCCTGCCGTACTGCAAGTAGTGCTGCACGGCAAAACTATATATATTTTGGTGCGTTAGGTTTTTCTTTTTCTTTCTTTTTATTTATTTATTTATTTTTTATGTTGGTGTGTGTGCTGTTGATGGTTTCTTAACAAATAAATAAATAAAAATGAGGGAAATTTATTTTGAAAATTTTTCAAAATTTGACCTCTATATCAAAATAAATTGTGAGTTTTTTATTTTAGCCATTTAAATTTAAATTTTTTAATTTATTTTCAATCTAAATCATTGACCTATTTTCGTTAGATAAATTGATGCAAAAATGATATTTTATATATATTTACATTTAATTTAATAATTAAAATATTTTTTTCTTAATTTTACCTAACAAAAATGAGCGAATGATTGAGACTGAAAATAGATCAAAATATTAGCATTTAAATTAATAAAATTAAAAACTCATAATTTATTTTGTTGCAAAGTTCAAAATATAAATATTTTTTGATTTTTGCAAATAATAATAATAATAACATCAATTTTGTTCTCGTTTAGGCAAACCAATTAAAAAATTATAAAACCCTTAAAATATTACTCTTAAATTTACTTGCAATGATGTGTATTATTACATATTATTTATTTATTAATTTGTTGAAAAATCAACTAATTAATTTGAGTCTCCCCATTTAATTTCAAAGTTATGAGATTACTTGAGGTGAGCACAAGTTGACACAAATACTAAATATATAGCAAATACCTTATATTTATCTGTGAATAATAAAATATAAGCAACTATAATAAATATCAATGTCAAAAGAAATATAAATAATTTGATTTTTAAAAACATCAAAAATATAATAATCAATAAATATACATTAAATTTCAACTCATGTGAATTTTTTTAAAAAAATAAAAATAAAATGTCAGTATATATTTCTCCTTACTACAATAAATGTATTTGAAGATTCGTAAAGTTTTATTTTATTTTGTTTCAACCCAACAATTCTCCCTCTCTCCCTTCTTCTCTTAAAAAATAAAATAAAATAAAAAGTCAACTTTGCCGTTTTGTATGCACAGCAGGCACCTCTTGTCCCATCATCCATTCCAATCTCCTCAATCAATTTTTAGTCTCACTTCTTCACAATTGTAGGAAACACATAATGAATGTCTACCCAAACAAAAAAAAGAAAAGAAGCAATTGATAGCTGGGATTAAACGCAGCTATGGTGATCAACATTTAATTTGGTTTTACAGCATCCAATCTATATTTTACAAACAAGCCTCAATTACATTTCCTGTATGTAAAGGTAACCAGAAGAGATATAATGTGGCCACATACATGGCTCAAACGAATCACAGAGAACAAAGAAGGCTATCCTAACGACAACATCAATGAAACTTAGTATAGGAGGCAAAAATCAAATTAAAAAAAAAAAAAAAAACCAATAAATCATGGCCACAGCCATCACGGAGATGTCTCTGATTCTGCAGCAAGTTTGGAATTAGCGACTGAGGCTGGAGAGGGCTGGTCAATTTCCTTGCGGGATGCTTCCCACAGTTGCTGTTCTATTCCCAGTTTCCTCAGCTCTGTCAAGCCTCGCTCAACTACAACAGAGAAAGCGTTGCAAGACATAAAAGTAGGATTTTTGCACAAAATCATCTTAACAAGCATTAGCATTTCTGAATCAACCCAAGAACTTAACAAGATTAAACCCAAGATCACGAGCAAGCAAGAAATGGCCTCATGAATCCATAGATAAATCATTGAACAATTTGCTACTTCTCCATTGTCTGCTTGCTTAGACAACTAAAATTGACATTTATTCTCTTTAGGGCAAATCATACCCATGATCTTTATAATTTGCCTTGTATCAATTTGATCATTATAGTTCCAAATGTATCAATTTTGTCATTTAATTTTTACATTGTGTCAATTTAGTTCAACCGATAACACCAGTGAAAAAATTGGATAGAAATCAAGGGCAAAATGGTTCATTCAAAAGGGAATGGACTATTTCATATTGGACATCAACCTCTCAATCATTTTGAAGCGAGTGAATGAACTATTTTGCCTCTTGATTTCAGTCCAATTTATAAACGGGCATTATTAATTGGACCAAATTGACATAATATGAAATTTTAAAAAATTAAATTGATGCAATTAGAATTGACTCAAAAGGAAAACTACAGGGACTATGGGTGTAATTATCCCTTCTCTTTAGTACACTATTCACAAATAGTTGTGACACTTCAGATAAAATGCAAATCATGTCAGATAATGGCACCACTATGTTTCTCATGTCAGATAGTGAAGAAGACCTGAAAACATGAGCTAATAGGCAATTAGAATTACCATCAACCACATCATGTGATGTTGGAGACTGCCCACTACGGCTTATCCAAAATTGAAGTCGCTCTTCGGCAATATCCTCTTCTACACCATAAGTTTTGGCTCTTCTCCAAAAATACATAAGCCAAGCCTGAACATATTATATAAAATTATAAAGACCATGAATTATCATGACCTTAGACTCAAAAACATACAGAAAATCTTTAATAAAACAACCCTTCAAAAGTATGCAAAAAGAAAAATGATAGTGGAAAGCTTCACTGATGCTTCCATACATTTCTCCCAAGGTTTACTTAATCACATCTCAAGCATGGACAATGGCATGAACATACATCATCGAAAAAGGCCATGTATGTCAAGGGCACGACAAAATAAACAAATTTGCAAAAGCAAGCAACAGACCTGCTTGAAAAGAACATCTTCTGATTCCTCTGGACTTAGTTCTGCAACCAAGAATATGAAAGATGAAATTAGTAATACAGTCAACTCTTCCATATTCTTTGAGAACAGAATGGAGATGCACAAACTATATCTTGAGGGCCCCGGTCAGGTGAACTAGATTTTGCACAAGGTACACTTGCTAACATGCATGGAACCTTGTTAGTTTGAATGAAAGAAATGTATATCTAGATACCATGAAGCATGAGTACTCCAAAATATTGTCGTTCGCTTAATGGTACTTAACTGGTACGAGTACACAAAACATATGTCCAGTATGGAAAATACGTTTGAGTATGGGATGGGTATGTTTAAGATACTTTTGTGGATATTTTGGGACATAAATGTAATTTTTAAAAAACATAAGGGTACTGAAACAATTATATTGTGCCTATTTTTAAAAACTTAAAAAATATATGGTATATTTGCAATTATAAAAAATATTAAAAAAAAATACTTGGGTCCTTTTTTAGACCATTACAAAAATACTTTAACAAATTTTTGAATCTGATTTTTTAATTGTTGTGTCATGTATTACAATTTATAAAACGGTAGTGATTGGTAGCTCGAAAGAGCTCCCCCGAATCCCCCCCGAAATGAAAACGACGCCGTTTTCGTCGTTTTCATTTTTTTTTTTTTTTTTCGGAAGAAGAAAATCAGAAAACAAGAAGAAGAAGAAGAAGAACGTTTTCGTCGTTTTTTTTTTTTTTTTTTTAGAGGAAGAAGAAAATCAGAAAAGAAGAAGAGAAGGAAGAAGAGAAGGACTGGAGGGGCCATCAACCAGTGCGGGGCGGAGGCGGAAGCGGGGCGATCTGCGACGATCGGAGCTGAGTTGTGACGACCGGAGTGAGCTGCGACGATCGGCGGGACGACGATCGAGGGGCCTCTCTCTCTCTCCGTTCCCCCTCCATTCCCTCTTCCCCTCCTCTCTTCTCTCCATCTCCTCCTCTCTCTTTCTTCCTCTAATTCTCCCTCTCTCTCCCTCTGTTACAGAAAAAAAAAATTAAAAAAAAAATAGAATGCCCAAAACGACGTCGTTTTGGGCATTCGGGGGATTAGGGGGAAGAACTTTCGAGCTACAAATCATTATTCTTTATAAAAATATATTTTTATGGACGTACCGGACCATACCCGAATCCTACTGTTTTCAGGTTCTGCCGTATCAGCATTATCCATAACATACCCATACCGGCACCCATCGTTCCTAACAAATCCAATTCTAGGAAGGTGGGAAATTATATCCCCATAGAAAAATGCTTGGGAGCACTAGGGAGAGCACTAATGATGTGGCAGTGGGCCCCGCCCACTTTCTATGCCTTGTTTGTTTTTTTTTTTTTTTTTTACCATTCCCAATACATTAGTGCTATTAGTGATTTATTTTTTAGTGGTCTAAATCATTGTTGTATCCCCATAATGCAATGGATGCAATAGATTTGTAGCCAGAGGAATCTACAACGGGGGCAATAGTTGACATCCAAATCAGTTCCATACCATTGATTGAAAAACTAAATGAGGTGAATTCAACAGTGCCACTATTACTGAAATGCTAAAGTTACTATAGAGGTGATATCCCTCAATGTGAGCATTTCAAGTGCAAAAGATCATATAACAACAATAACAGTGTCTCTATTACCAAATCCCTCCATAAACTTGGGATCGCCTGATGCTTTGGGATCTGCAAAGCAATGGAAGACACGATGAAAATTTTTAGTAACTTTTATATTCCCACAAAAAGAGTTAATTTGAAGTAAGAGGACTTTCCAGATATATGGAAAGATCTCATTAAGCATTATAAGAAAGGACAACATAAACACTACCAAATTGTTCTACAAAATTTTAATTTTATAACAAGTCAAAAAACACTTGCAAATTAGACGCTATAACTGTCATATTTCGTATTGGGAAAAGATCAAGCTTGTTGTTTAATGGGCAAATAAAACAGATTTTGATGCCCTTTTCCAAGAGGAAAGGTCAATAAGGACCCTAAGTAAAGCTATTATGATAGTAAAAATTGAACGAGGCAGTAACTAATGAACCTAGAATATGGACGATTGAAAATTCCTCTCTTATAATATATATATTTTTTTACTTATCAACTGAAATAGAGAATTTATATCCAATAAAAATATAAAAGTAATCATTGTAGCAAACAAGCTTGAGCATGACAATGAATCATACCTGTGTAGAATTCTTGAACCAAATTTGGCCGTCGGTGTTTAGCAAATGCAAGGACAATAGCATCCTCAACCTTAAATGAGCAGTAATAATAATCAATCAATAAAGATGTCAGAAAAAACACCAAGATAAAGAAAAAAAAAGACAAACTAGGCCAATATATATATATGAAGGAACCCCGAGGGGTTAGCCTAGTGGCAAGTTGAGCCGTGATAAACGCCTCAAGAAGCCTAGGTTCATGAAGCACTTGGGGCCACCCCATGGCTTGTGCCTGGTAATTGCATCGTATGTGTGGGATGAGGGGACTGCATGTATCCAGGAACTAGTTGGGGCAAAATTCTGGATACCGTTGTTACCAAAAAACAAAGCAACGAAAAAATGAGATTTAAAGGGGAACGAAGATCTCTACTATACTAAAAAAAATAAAAATTACAGACAAGAATGAAGCTCATATTTCCAGTAATTTATGCCTAATTTTGGTCTCATTTGCTCAAAAGAAAAAAATCAAATCCAAAAATGGAAACAACTGTATTTAACCAAGGAACAAAAAGTTCAAAATGTGAAAGAAAACCTTCAAGGAAGCTAGTTCCCTTAAGCCCATTTCAATAGAAAGCATAGTTTCAATATTTCCTTCTCCAGTTAGGTCATTTGGATCACGAACAAGTTTGCTCCTCCTATCTGAATCATTGTTACCTGCTCGTTGTTATAAAGAATGAAACCCTCTATACGTCAAGCAATAGAGATGCAAGCAAATTCCCAAAAAAATAGAAAGAATCATTGCTATTGCAACAGGAGGACTTGCCACTATTCCAAGACTCCTCCTTGGCCTTCTGTCCAGCAGAAATGACAACTTCAAATGGAAGAGGCGCTAAAGATGACCAGTGCTCATGCTTTGAGACTGATATATCTGCACAGATGCCTGTAAAGTAGGCAAGCAAAAACGGTAAAAATGGCAAAAAATCAACTCAGAGGTGATAGAAGAAATTATGTACAAAAGTGGGTCGCTCATTGAAAGCCAGCAAATCAATCAATTTGGGAAATTAAAGAAATTTGAAAAGTAGTTTGGTTTTTGACAACTCATTGATACATAAAATCATGTTCATATATAAGCAAACTTTATAAACCAGAAATTATAGACTGAAATTTTGAGATCAAGCTATAGAATGGCTCTAACTGATGGCAAAAGATGTAAGTGCCTATCTCATGTGGTTTTGAAGATATATGAACGTCCTTGGTAAGTGAGTGCTTATGAACAAGAATTTAATTAGCCTTAAGCTCCCTCCAAAGGCTTAAGTTTCGCATAACCTTTCTTTTCCTATTTCACTTCCTTTGGGGCTCTTTTTTAGCCCACCTGAAAGTGCCAGACCCGAGTGAACCTTCAAGGCAAGCCCAATTACGGTTTGACTTAATACTCAAAACAAATGAAAAGAGATCGGGTTCAACCAGGGTAACAGTGCCAGGTAGCTTGGTCAAAGAAGTAACCTGAGAATACCGGTTTCAAGTGCTATAAACAGCCCAGTCACTAGAGTAACGAAGCCATGCAGACAGGTTTCACTTGATCAGCAAGCAGTAAACTGTAGCCAGCAGTGAACAAAGGGCAAGCAGTCCGACAGAATAGCAAGCTAAGCGGAGCCCGAGCCTTCCCCGGACCATCTAAATTTATCGTATTATCAACTGTTACTAGAAAAAAGAATCGAATTGAAAAACGAACTGGCTTCCTTGATTTTACCCATTTTAGAGGGACAGGCTACAAAAGTCCCGCTCTTGAAAAGGACAAGAATTCCTTCTCCTCTCTCTTTTGTAGATGAGCTCATAAAAGGCTCCGTTTCTTGCAATGTCAATCGAACCTCGCATTCAGGTACTTAACTTAAGCCCATCAATTCATGGAATGATGAAGTGAAATGCGGACTAAGCCTTTAAGTAATCCCACCCAAGTTTCAAATCTACGATTAGTTGGCTGATCGTCTAATTTTCTGAGTGGGAACATGTCTGATCGTAGCCCCTTCTTAGTTTCAGGAACAAGGTCCTCCCATTCATTGAATGGAGTGATTGAAGCAGTGAAAATCCAACAATAGTAGTTCTGTCTTCCTCATTAACTATGCCTCCGCTTCCCAGTGAGCTAAAGTCAAAGAGTAACAGTAAGAGGGGAAAGGATAAGAAGAGTAACAGATCCAGCTCTGAATTTGCAACAAAGAAAGTAGAAAATGATCATGAACTTCCAAAATGCAGTAAGGCAAATTCTAGAAAGAAATAAGAAAATAAATCAAAATGAAAGAAGGAAGCTAGCCATAGTTGGAAGGATTCGCGCACTGACTCAAGCAACTGGAGTGGGAATAGCAATCAAAGTCATCGTCAACAGGCTCTCCAACTTGTTCGTACCGTCTGTAACCTCGTTGGCTTGGATTCGTCTCCATCCCAACTCTCTTCCCTTCCTGTATCATATGGAGCTTTATTGAGTAGTTGCCCGCAGGGGGCATGCTGCAAGAGCGTAGGTGACTGATAAGCGTAGGAGGCATGCCCGAAGGGCAGCGACAGCAGTGTGGTTCCAGGTGCTGTCGCTAGATTGAGATCTGCAGGGTGGCGGGGACTGTGACTGCCTTGTATCAGGTGAAGAGAAGGGGGTGGTAGGCTTAGTAGGGCTCGAACCTACAATATAACCGTTATGATCCACTATAGGATTTACATTATACACAACAAAAGCACCTGAAGTACTAAACGGAATAGTTATTAGTTTGGTAATGGTTGGAGCAGCAAACTCAGATTCAACAAGAATCTCATTTTTTGGTAGTACGAAGGGGGAATTGGCCCAAAAATTGGATAGGGGTCAAGACGCTGTCAGGCACCGGCGACTGACTAAAGTGCCCCCGAACCCAAGCCCACCTCCTGGTTGTCATCGCTCGATCATTTACTTTTCCACTAAGTGATTGCTTAGGGACCTTAGCACACAATCTGGGCTGTTTCCCTCTCCTCGACTTTGAATCTTAGCACCCAAAAAGTCTGTCTGTACAAATGACCTAGGCCTGTATTCGGAGTTTCCCTGGGGTTGGTAAGGCGGGTGGGTCTCAGACAAGAACTTATAGCTGGCAATTCCTGCTTGACTTTGATTTGCGTGTTTTGAAATCGGATTTGCTTTTATAATATAATAGAGAAGTGGCTTTCCTAACAGGGATTCTTCTTTGATCTACACCGGTTCATCACTTTGCTTTAAGAACAAGCTTTCTTCCTTAGCGACTGGTGCGCTCTTTGATGGCTTGGCTTAATTGCTTAATTTCAGGCTTTTCTCATTGTTAGGCTTGCTCTTTCCGAATGGAATCCGTGGATGAAAGAGCCTTATGCAAATAGGGGGGAAATGAGTAAGGACTGGAGTAAGGGACGAACTAATAAAGACTATTAAGTGCATCTAGAACCTTCTAGATATGCAATTGCTAATTTGCCACTCTCTCAGACTCATACAAAGAAGAAATTATAGCAAGCACATTACCATGCTGTGCAGCCAAGCCCCAATACCGAGCAAGCCAACACCTCTTCAAAACAACCTCCTCCTGAAATGTAGAATTAAAAAGTCAGTAAAAATAAAAAGTCTTTAGAGAGCTAGTCATAAATCTTGGTATAGCTTTGAAAGACAACCATCTCCTCATGTGTCAAAATCATTCTTTGAGTCATTGTGCGAAGAGCTTTTGCTTCAGATTCTGCTTCACGGAGCTGTTCTGAAGCACTTTCAGTATCATCTTTTAAGTTCTGATTCCAAAAAATTAAAGCAGGAAGAAAAGGATCAACAGTATGCTATTAAAATGAAAAGTGGAATTGAAGAGCTTAATTATTAGCTTACGCTACCTCAATTTCTACATGAAGCGCAGTAATTTCCTCATCTCTCCCATCCTTTGTTTGTTGCGCAGCTTTAAGAGCAACCTGTCACCCAAAAAAGAAATTGTAATTGCAGCCTAGAAGCATAGACAGACACATTGGCACGACAATTTTTAAAAAATGTAAGATACAACATGTGAGGACATGCATAAAATATATTTTTTTATATATTTATTATATGTCATTTACACATGAATATTTCATTAAAATATAATAAAATTGTGACATAACACTAATTCCTAAAATCTAAAGGAGAGGGGATTAATAGGTATAAATTTACATTGTTTTCCTTTTTATCATTTGATCCCAAGTTATTTTTCTTCAAACTTGTAATGTATTTTATGTGTGTTTAAGCAATAGACAAGTATGTCCCCCATGTTTTTATAGGACGTCCAACTCTAAAAAAAAAATTAAAATTCATAGCACATGTCTTATCATCTGTCCGATACACACACAACTTCTTAGAATTGTCCATGCTTCTCATAATGCAATGTAAGGGCAACCTCCGAGGAAGAATAACATTCAGCACAAAGTAAACTACAAGAACTCCCTCACAATATAGAACCAACCATACACTGAGCACAGTTAGAGATGTTTTGAAATACATGATTTGTGACACCAAGCCGTTGCTAGCATAAGTCATCTCAAAGCAATCATGACCTCAGCACCAATATAAAGATAACATACAATAAATGCACAACCATTGTCAATTTTGTATCATGCAGCTCACCTCTCTTTGACGCAATGCTGCTTCCTTCCTGCAAATAACCACATAACACATCATACTTAGTATGTTAAGTAGTGGTATGACAGAGATGGAACAATCCAATTTACCTGGTCAACAATTTAACTTCGAACGATATGCCCTCCCCAAGGGTAGCAACCTATAAGTCCATATTTTAAATGGCAGAAATGAATAACTAGGCATCATTGCTAAATTTGCAAATAAATAAATAAAATAAAGAAAGATCAATTTTATGAAATATTCAAGAGTGAGGCATGGAAGAAAATAAGAGATAGCAGTCAAATAATAGTCATTTACAAATATATGACAAAATGATGAAATTAGAGAGAGAGAGAGAGAGAGAGAGAGAGAGAGAGAGGAGGAGGAGGAGGAGGAGGAGGGAGGAGGAGGAGGAGGAGGAGGAGGAGGAGGAGGAGGAGGAGGAGGAGGTATATACAACTAAACAAATTCGCTCAGATTACATGTTTTGATCTCTACAATTATATTCTTGTCCTTTTGTAAAGGGTACCCATTGCATGATTGACTTGGTGGCCATGTTGAACAACATGTTTTGATCTCTACAATTATATTCTTGTCCTTTTGTAAAGGGTACCCATTGCATGATTGACTTGGTGGCCATGTTGAACATCAAAAATTCACAGAAAAACCAAGGATGGAATCTTCAGGGCTTGCTCATCTTGATTCCAACACTACATAGTTCTACTAACATGTGTTTGTGTGTGTTACATAGGTCATGCATTGGGATGGCATCCGAGATGCAAAGTGTTTAAAATAACAAAATAAACAAATATATTTTTTAATTATGGACCTATCCTTGAGGTTTCGGACAGGTGTCCAGGCGTGTCTGCAAGGTGTCATTGTCCAACATAGACATGGTATCTCTGTGGAAATCCAAACATCATAGGTATCATATCAGGGCTTTAGGATAGGGGAACAACAACTATTTTTTAACCGTTATATTACATGCAATAGACATAATTTGAAAATTGACGGTTACCAACTAATTGAGATTGTTTACCTGTTTCTCTAGCACCCTGGCTCTAGCCTCTGCTTCTTCATGCTTTTCTTCCGCACACCGAAGCTGCAGAGCAAATTCAAGAATAACTTTAAGACATAACAAATTATGCTGGTATAATTTATTGTATTCATTTATATATTATTTTGGAGTTGGGGCAATGGGGGAAGCTCACCTTATCAAGTATAATATCATTCTCCTCCTGCAGCATATCAAGCTGCAATTCAAGCAGATGCCAACTTCATATTAATGATTTAAGGATTACAATTTATACTACACAAAAGTGACTCAGTAAGCATCTGCATTTGTGTGTCATTCAAACCAACCCAGGATGAATAACACCCAGCTATGACCTAGAAATGGCTTCCATCACTCTATTTCAGAGGTTAGATACAAGCCAGATAAGAAGACAATGGGTGACAAATGAGCATGTTCATACTTCATCTCTTAGTGCAGAAGCCTCCCGCTGGTAGTCTGTATCTTTCAAGTCTTTACGACCAGCATCTGATGTAAACCTACAACATTTGCCAAATAAGGAAATATCAATGATGCTGACAACATACCCATGCAAGTTGGAATTTGTTTCTCTGTCCACACTCACATGCAACAGAGATGCATGGTCACAAACAATCATATGAATGTCCATAAACAAAGAGTTTAGCCACGCGTTTGGTTGGAAGGCTGTGGTACTGTAAGTACCCAGGCAATATTGCAAATAATTTAAATCTGGATCAACCATCAAGCATCAACAACCAAGTAAGGTGGTGTTTAATAACCAAATTCACTACTTAAAATTTATTAAGTGAAAAATTAGTTAAGTCAGTTTGATAATCACAATTCGTATCACTCTAAGATTTAAGTGGCTCTCGAAATGTAAGCTAAAAGTTAAGAAAAGCATGATTCTCACTTAATGTTAGATGAATTTATAACTGCTTATACTTAAGCTTTGCATCGTTATGACCTCACCACTATAGTCAACACCAATACCACTCAGTTTATCTGCAATTTGTCTGGTTCATCCTTTCTTCAAAAAGCTATCTTGTGTATACCAAAACAAAATGGAAAGACTACAATTTTTTAAAAGAAAAATAGATCATATCTAAAGCACCTGCACAAAGACATTTTAACCCATAGTTTTTATTATATTATTATTGGCTCATGTATTCAGTTAAAATATCAGCTAAGGATGTACAAGGATAGGCTTGAGTTTGGAGTATGTGAAATTGTTAATACACATGCAGAGGAGCTGTGTCAAAATCATATGAAAAACAGGCCCGTGCCAACTGTTAATAGTATAGAAAGTGTACCCCATATCAAATGTTTAGAGGTTGCTCTTTCAAGAAAATTGCTGACCTCCACCAATCCCAACCCCGACCCCCCCCCCCCCCCCCCCCCCCCCAAAACAAAAAAAAAAAGGTTAAGAAAACGAAGAAAATATAAGAGTTAGTTGACATATAAAATTTTAAAATGGTTAATCCCCCAAAAACAAAAAAAGGAAAAGATATTCAATTATTATCAGCAAGAACAAGTAAAATAAGAAAAAATGAAAGAATAATTGTTACCTGTTTTCTCTTAGTCTGTTACTAGGAGGTTCTATCGGTAGAATGGGGACCGGAGTTCTCAATGATCCTCGACTAGGTGGCACTAATGCCGTTGAATGAACTGACATTGATGGCCTTCCGACTGATGTGGAATGAATTGAAGAAGTGCTCTCCATAAAGTTCCGACCTAACTACATACGAGAATATGAAATTAGCCTTCAAAATTATAACCAATGTGAAATATTCACCCTCCTACTATTAACTAATATGTGTTTTGAAGAAATGTGTCGACAGATAGACAAGTAATTCAAAACAAATTTGTAACTGGATTTTAGTTTTCTTAACGGTAGAAGACCGAAAAGGGAAATTGAAAAATCCAAAAGTCCCCTGTTTCCACCGCAGACATCCCATCCCTAAAAGCCTCTTGCCCCACACCAGAAAGTATGAGAATTGGCAAATTACTCCCCCAAAACATTGGCATCCGAACAATAGAATAAGGCTATGTTTGTATAGACAGACTAGATTAGATTGTGTGTGGGTGATTTTCCGATCACACTGCCCACCTCAGTACTCAGCTGGAGAACACTGGCAGAATAGATGACACCTGGCTAACCTGTAACAGAAAGAGAAGATTCCGGCGGTGGTTCGTCCACCCGGGGGCACTCCGACGATCAAGTCCGTATATCTCTCAAAGATAATCAATAATGCTAAACTCAATGCTCAAAGCATAAAATTGCGTACCTTAAACCCACGGGGGTGCCTCTCTTTTATAGTTACCTCAATCCTAATCTCAATAGAAGCCTGACTTCTATGGATTCCTGTTCAATACTTACTTTGGACTCCTTTAGAGATAAAGATAAACTCCCTAAGAGTTTTATCCTTATCTTGGCTAAGTCTCCTCTTTATTCTAAGACTCTTGTCCCCTATCCGCTTTTCTCGGACTCCGATATCTTCGGAGATAACCTCGGCTTAACCGAGATCACCTCGGCGTCATGACCCTGACACATGGCATCTCGGCTGACATGTCGGCATCACTTTGCCACGTGTCGATACTAAAAAATATATCCCCACAACTGCCCTCTAGGTTCTATTACCTCAGTATGGAACCTATATCATTCCGTTTTTCCAGTACGTCGGTTTACAGTATCTCAGCCGAGATCATTATTTTGGCCGATATGTCTTTGTTGAAGAACAAGAACTTCAAGAACCCTTTCACGCGTATGAGTTGTCATACACCATAATTCAACCGTTTTTAGCTACGCGTTTCTTTCTTACTGGTTCGTACTTGTGATGCGCCTGTAAGCCATCTCTCTCTCACGTGCGCCGTCTGACGCATACGTTCTTCTAGGCGTATTGATTACTTTTTGCCGCCGTTTTCATTTTTAACAAAACATCTCTTCGATTTTTCCCTTTCACCTTATTCTCGTTTCTGGAAAACTTTTTCTCTCTTTAGCTTTTCTCATTTCTTCCATTGTTCCAGACCTCAAGCTCTGCTACGGCCCTCATTCTTCCTCCCGATGAAGCTTCCGCCGTCTTGTTACTTCTGTAACCATCGTCTGACTTCGGCGATCCTTACACCGGCTTTATTTTTTCTAGTAAGCAACTGTTCCTTCTTATTTCAGTTCTTGATTGTTTTTCTGGAACTTGTTGTTATTACTGCTTTATTCGAATGTTCAATTTGTGAATCTGAATGCGTTTATTCCATGGTTTGGCCCTTGCCCATATCTTGAATATACGCACTGTTTCACCACTTCCCTGTATTTTTGCCACTGATCTTGGTCCTATATTTCTTGTATTCTTTATGCTCTTGATAGACCATCTCTGTTTTTTATTTTGAAACTCCGTTCTTGCTTTCTGTTTTTTGTGTCTTTTCCAGATCTGTGCCTTTGATCTTCATCTCCATAGTTTTAGATTTGGGATTTGTTTGTAGAACCCACATTTTAGGGCAAAACTGAAACATCCCTTACAAATTTCTGCACCAGCTCAAACCTAGGTTTTTGCCGAGGTCCCAATAACCCTTTTTTGATACATCTTTTTGAAATCCAATACCTTTAGTTATCCCGATATCATGGGTATGTGGAAACATCGGGTAGACACCCCCTCTAAGCTAGAATTTTTTAAGCAAGAGTTTGAAATCCCAGCCGATGTCAATTTGAGGTTGGCTGGGGATGATGACTCCATCATGCCTACTGATCACTCCATGCCCTTCCCTGTAATTGCCTTTATTGAGTGTGGACTTCGGTTTCTACTTGACCCTTTTTTTCGTCAAATCCTTCACTTCTATAAGTTGAACCCAATGCAACTCGCCATCAATTCTTACCAAGTTATTACTGGTACCATAGCTTTAGTCAAACAAGAGAATGCCAGGATTACGCTTGCCAATTTCCAGTACTGTTATACCATGTGTCGCCTTAGAAAAGACACGGACTATGTCTACTACCTCAAGCCGAGATCCACTGAATATAAAATCGTAGCCGACCTCCCAGACTCCAACAAGGGAGCTGGAGATGATTTCTTCATCGTCTCAGGCAATTGGGAGTTTCAGCCTAATGATGACCTCCATCTTTATCCTTTAAGCCGAACAGTTCTTGGGGAAGGAGCCGGTAAGGGCCACCCTTCATAAGTTGTCTTATCTTCTTGCATAAAGTTTTCAATATTCTGTTTTAATGTCTGTGTTGTTCTATCTTTGCAGTTCTTCCTCAGCCTCCAAAAAACTTTCGCCAATCCTTCTATCGCAACAAGGATTTAAAAAAACTTCTGAACTTGCCAATTCACAAACGAAAGGCGCCTCTGCTCCTCAACTTTATTCCAACATACAGGTCTGCTTTGCCCGACGTCCCTAGGAGGAAGAAAAAAAGCCTATCTCCACCATCTGCCACAACTCCACAGACTGTGTCCACATCCCGGACAAATCAAGGGTCAACTTCCGATCCAGCTGATCAACCGTCAACCTCGGCTCCATACTTAATTCCAATATCCCAACGCCGCCGTCGACGTCGATCAGTTTCTTACGCCGAGATGGGTCGCCAAAAACCGGTTGCAAAAAATCTTCTGGCCAGCATTCCGTCATCCGTTGATGATCAACCAGCACAAACCCAACCTCCATCGAAGCCGAAAAGAATAAAGAAGGCTCAACCAAAGGCTAAGGTAACTCAGGTTGAGTCTGAAAATACCTTGCCTATCTCAAAGTTGGCTGAGAGTGACAAACCTCAACCCTCTGCTGGGAAGAGGCGCTCTGAAGCCCAACCATTAGAATCCCCAAAATCCAAAAAGCCGAAGTCATCCTCCGCTACAACTTCGGGGTCTAAGAAGCCTGCTGCCCCCTGGGCCCCTGAAATTACTTTGGAGGATAAGCCAGTCATGGCAAATGATAGTGCTGAGGATATTAATGTCGGCGTTGCGCTCAGTACTGCTCTGCTGCTACCAGGCAATCTGGAGCGAAACGCCGAGTTGAGCGAATACGAAAACTATGCGTTGATGCTTCAATGCTCTGTTCAAGTAAGTGTCTTTCATCTGGCACTTTTTTTCTTTCTTTTTTATACTTAGAAATTTTTGCAATAACTTTTACCTTGTGTTTTCTTCAGGTTATCCAGCATGCCCACTCTTTTTCTGTTCAATCTTTCGAAAATCGGCAGAAGCTAGTCGATATGAAGAGGGAGTTCTCTTCTCTTCAAAAAAACCAACAAGAATTTGCAGTCCAAGATGAAAAAGTTGGAGGACCAAGCCGAGGCTACAATCAAAGCCTAAACTGAAGCCGAAGAGAAGGCTGAATCTTCCGAAGCCATTAGAAAGGTTGCTGAGTCCCAAAGAAAAGAGGCTGAGAAGAAGATGGCCAAAGCCGAAAAGGAGCTTCAAGAAGCCTTGGCCACAAAAGAGGCTGAAATCAAAGACGTTGATGAAAAGGCGTATGCCCAGGGCATGGCCGATGTTACTGAGGCTTATGAAAAACTGGTGAAGGAGGCATGCAACAAGGGTTTCACCCTTGGTTGGATGTCCCTTCTGAAAAAGCTCAACGTTCCTGAGGACTCGCCCTTGAGAAAAGCAGACGCCATTCCTCTTCCATTCCCTCCATCTCCACTGCCAAGTCAAGACGTCGGCGAATCTGAGTCTGAGGATGGTGATGAGGATGAAGATGAGGCCTTGGTGAGAAAATCCAAGGATGCTGATGGGGCCAAGTCCCCTCTTCAGAAGGAGTAAGCCCTAGACTTGACTCAAGATGAAG